CTCTCTATTTATCCGGGCTTGGGACCGGTACAGAAGTCACTGGCTTGCAACCCCTGTGGCTAGATTACTGTATGCAGCATAGAGAAGCATAATATCAGATTACTAATAGTTAAACTGTTTACAGTATGCTGTTCCATCTAAATTCTTACACATCAAAGGAGTCCAAAGCAGTGTATAAAGTCATATTTTAGTTATAATATGACCATTTTAAATATACTGTAGTGAATGTACAATACATTGTAAATGTGCAGCAGAAAAGTGGATTATCCATGCATAAACATATCACTACTGGAATTCACTTCAGCCACTGTGAAGCTGACCATCGCCTCCAACTCTACATGAGCGGTAAAATTAAAAATGTCTTACAGCCAATTTGTCAAGCTTACATGATGTCTAATGTTGCCCCTTTACAATAAAATGTCTTCAACTGGCACTCACCTCTGGGTGGGAACGCTGGGTGGTCGTGAGCGGTTGCGCCCCTCTTCCTCGCGGTGCGGGGAGACTGAGCGGGAACGTATGTGATGGTTGGGCATCCTCTGTTGCTCTGGTATCGCCAGAGTAGATGTAGACTCTCGTTGCCTCTCCCTGCCATGCCCATCTGCTGCGGGGGGTGGGGGTCATGCATGTGCAAACACATATACACACAGTGTGAATGTGAATAAAAGTAAATGTGGAGTGCACAAAATGTTAACATCAAATATATATATATATATATATACATATATACATATATTTATTTTTTTACACAAACCATTTCCTTAATCATGGCAAATGAAAGTGACATTATAACTTGCAAAACTTTAGTCTACACCCCAAACTTTGAATTAGGGAGCCACATGCTGGAAGTGTGAATACAAGAGTGTGAATTGTTTTTAACTAGACACTCATCATTTATGCAGTACAGCTTATGCAGCATGCAGTATATCCTTCTCTCTGAATAACACAACTCAAACCATTTCTATAAGGCCCAAATTTAGAACATATATTGATTTAAGTGGCATCAGTATAATCACGGTGTCCCCTGCAGGTCACTGGGTCCACAGCTCTATGTGTGGAACTTTCTAGACTGTGTTGAATGATAGAGGACAACTATTGTTATCCAAATTGAGAAGGTATGGGGATCTTTGAGTAGTAGTAGCCTGCTACTTCACAAGATGTTTAAAATCATGTCAGTAATGATGTTACATCACATAAGCCTAGTGTGCCAAAATGTTAATACACAGTTCACTACTCTTAAAATAGTGTATATGTTAACATGTTAGTACCAATGTTATAAGGATACAGACTAAGATCAGCCTAGCAAAACTGCAGCCAGCTATTTTTCATTACTGTACATTTTCTGTCCTCAGTAGTATATCAAAATATTTTGAAAATATAAATATAAATACAGACAAACCAGCCTTGAGAGGATCTTTGCAGCTATGTCAGGCTTTGTTGTGGTTCCAAGGTCACTGGCTTCGTTTCCAAGAGAACAGTACCTCAGAGCTCACAGTGAGCCATTATCATTATTTTTGAAAGTCCTACCAAGGTTTTTCATTTATTTTAACCATGCATAGAAATGAAAACAAAAAGTGGGCAAAGTGATGTAGTGTATTTTCCCCATTCCTTCTGTCTCTCTTTTTAACTTGAGCACTTATTAACAATAAATAAAGGGTAGGGTTATGCCTAAAATGTTTTACTTAAAGTGATATGGTGAGCTTTTAAATATTGAATTTTGTCATGATTTGGTTCCACTGCTTCCTGTCAGGCTTTTATTTTGACCTTACTTCCTGTTTTTGTTTCACCACTGTTTCAGTCTTTTTTTTTTCCTTTACTAATCACTCACATTAGGTTCACCTGCTCCCGATTGTTTGCACCGCATTATAAGCAGCCTTCACCCACCAGTCCCCGCCAGATTGTTCTAGACCCCAGCTCTGACTCTCCAGCGTTCTTTGGTTTTGCTATTTTGTGCGTTGACCCGGATCGTTTACTTTGACTACTCTGCTCTGTCTTGCCCTCTTGTTTCGGACTGCTACTGTGTATGATTTATTGGACCACCCCTTTGGATTACGAGCTTTGGATTGCCTTTACTGTATGTGTTTGCTGACTCTGATCTCGGACTGTTATACCGACCTGTGAGTTTTGTCTTGCACCGTGTCTTGTATGGTTTTTTTGTTTAGTGTTAGTTCTCTTATTAAAGAGACGTGTTTTTGCTTTACATTTCCTCGTCTGGCCATTTAATCGGGTTCACCAACATTTTCGGCAGCATCATGCGCCGTTCATGACAGAATTTGACCAGTTATGTCATAAAAGAATTCCATATGTTTGAAATATTCAGTGTTTCCTCCTAAATTTTACTATTAGGGTTCAAAATGTCTGAAACAGATCATAGACCATCGCTAAAAGGCCTTAAAAGTCTGCACTAGTCATTATGTTTTTCACTTTGATATGGAATTTGATTTGATATACAGGTATTTGCACCAGATTATACAGTATTTGTCAGGGTGAAATGACAATTGCCATTGAACACTGATGCTAAAACCTAGAAATGAATAACAATTACTTTTTTTTTTCTTCTAGACTAAAGTGATCAAATTGCTGGGATAATTCAGATTATTACCAGTGAAATACATAATCAAATCGCCCAGATTTGTTAACAAATCTACTGTATTTACTAGACCAACCCTAACAAACACAACAGAGACAGACTTTGACACTACAGTTGTACGCTAATACACATAGAAACAAAGAGCTGAGTGTTTGATGGAAGTGCTTTAGCTTTTGGTTTGCTAATGGCTAGGAAATTAATGTCTTAAAAGAATATTTTAAGAGACCCATTTCAGAGCTCACCTGAGGCAGAGCAATGTCTGACTGGAGCCTGCAGGTTTTCACCCCATGCCAGCATGTAGTATACAGAGATGACACTGACCTGTCATATTTGTTGCCGTCTGTTCAATATTGATTTACACTTCAGTTTAGTTTCAAGAATATACAAAAATTTCAAAAACAATACTGCACAATAACCACCAATGCAACCTTGCTTATAACTAAAAAAAAGCTCCTTCTTGTGTTATGATTCGGTTCCGTGTGCTTCCTGTGGTGCTTTTATTTTGACAATACTTCCTATTTTTCGTTTCACCACAGTTTCGGTCTTTTTACTTTAATTATCACTCTCATTAGTTTCACCTGCTCCTGAATGTTTGCAGCTGTTTTCACCCCTATTTAGGCAGTGTCCTCCCACTGGGCCGCTGCCAGATTGTTCTAGACTCCAGCTCTGACTTTGGTTTTGGTATTTCCTGTTTTTGACCTGGATCATGCACTGTGACAATTCTGTTCTGCATTACCCTCTAACTTCGGACTGCTTACTGTGTATGATTTATCAGACTTCCCTTTGGACAACGCATTTTGGATTCCTTTGATGTATGTGTTTGCTGGCTCTGATCTTGGACTGTTTGACCTGTATCGACCTGTAAGTGCGTTTTGTGTTACACCGTGTCTTGGTCTCGTTTTTTTTTGTTCAGCATTAGTGCTCTTATTAAAAAGACGGTTTTGTTGCACATATCCTCATCTGGCCACTTCATTGAGTTCACCCACGACATATTCAGCAGCGTCACGCGCCGATCCTGACATGTGTATGAAACACAGAATTGAAACGTGATCCCAAATTTTGCTGATAATGAATGCAGATACTTTCTGCTGTTGTAACAAAGCAGCTGCTGAAACACCATAAATAAATATCCAAGCTTTGGGAAACACTGTGTGTAATACTAGGAAATGGTCCCCACCCACCTTTAGACACTACTGCTGTACTCTCATCAAATTCAGGCTCTGTTACAAGCTGAGAACCTAAACAGTCATAGACACACATACACCGATATGTATAGACACATGCACATATCCAGGCACAAATACAATATTAGGGAAGGGCAGCAAAAGCAGACATTTACAGTGACATGTTATACTTTTTTGTGATAGTAAACCACACATCACTTTTGCTTTCTTGCAATATACAGTGATACATGCATACACACTCACACACAAAGGATAAGAAAGAGCTTACAGGGCATTCAAAAACACATGTACACTCTCAGACTTACACTGCAGCTTCTTTCCAGGAGCATCTACGTGTATGTGTCGTCGGGGCAGGTATGGGGAAGGTCGGGGCAGTGGTATGGATGAGACATCATGGGTTTGGAGTGGATACCAGTGAGGCTTGTCATCTAATAAGGCTGTCTCCAGCTCAATCAAGATCTGTTCAAATCACAGTCACATTTGCAGTTTTTGGGGGGTCAGCAGAACAAGCTGAGATAACACAACACTAATATATTATCCATCATCCTGTTGTGTTTGTGTACGAGAAACAAATTTAAGTATTCATTCTCTTTTAGCTTTGTTCTTGGTCCCCAGTGACTCCAGAGGGAAATACTATCTGGCCCTTTAGTTGTTAAATGCTCTATGTTCACTAGCCAGTCACTAACTTTGTCTGCCAAGTAGCATACCCTGGGATTATCACAGCCACAGTTCCCTGCTCCTACTGAAATTGAGGTTGCCTTCTACACTTAAATTACTTGGATCATCAGTCCAGAGGCCCCCCAAGTTAAACCACATCTGGTCACTACACTATTTTTAGCTGCGTTATTTTACACAGGGAAATGCAGGAACAGAAACAGTATGGCAGGCTGTACACTTTAACAACCTGAGTTATGTCTCAAAGTCCCTTGACCAAAAAATTTAATGTCATGGGAATACAGCAGGGTAAAGGAAACACCCAGACACACAACTAGTTTGTTTCTCCTGGTAGAAACAGCTCCTCCAGCTACAGACTCCCAATCACTATCATCTCAAGCACAGGTTGAAAGGACAGTAACATAGGACTGTGCTAGAAAGTAGACAGTGTGTGTGTGTGTGGTACCTCTCCCATAAAGGTGCTGTCCTCCTCTGGTGACCTGGGTTGGTCCCACACAGTCAGCTCCAGCATGTGGTTACGAAAATCCCTGCGATGCACATGAGTGTAGATGAATGTCTGGTTCCACTTGGGTTCACAGGTCTTCTTCACTGCCTTTGTCCTTCGTTTGCTCTTGTCACTGTGTTAAACAGTACAGATACACAGCCACAGTGGAGTCACTTTCATTGTTTACATCATTCTATTCTCAAATCTACATCACAGTATAGTGTGCACCTTTTCCCAAATTATGGCAATAAGCATTAAATCCAGACTTGAAGCTGCATTAACTAAGATTTAGCACAAATTTGGATAAATCAAGTAAAAATTTATCAGGAAGTGTTGTCTACCTGCTGTACTAAACCCCACACCCCTTGACCCCACTCTGCTATCTTCAGGCCCTCTCTTCTATCACTCTCTGGGCAGTGTTGTTAAAATCCACACCACACTTCTTCCACATCCCAGCTGATCTGAGGCTATAAGATGCGCTTTTCAAACCAGTATGGCTCATTTTAAAGATGGACTCTGGAGACCCAAGAGGCCATGTTCTATAGCACAGAAAGAGTGACAAAGAAAGAGGCAACACCGGGGTTAACATCGGTTTGACATGTCAGAAATATTTGGCATGACGGAGATGAAGAGCACTAAAATTTGACAATGATGTGGCTTTCTTCCTTCTGGGCACATAAGTATTGTAGCTGGCTAACATGTATATGTTGGCATCATTAGCAAGCTAACGTTAGCTTTCCAATTTTGTACCTTTCCATTGAATTAAACATTAGTATTTTGTTGTCCGGTTAGCAGAAACCAGTGTGTGTTCCTGGAGTAGCAAATTAAGTAATTTTGCTAATTTCTGCTCAGTATTGGTCCAGTTTATGTCGGACGTAACACTGCAGTCCATGTAGCATTTTAGTGAGATTTTAAAATTTATGCCATTAACAGTTCTTCAACTATCAATGTGTAACATGCCTCCGAAAATAACAGGCTCCATGGGCTCTATATTCCTTATACATTAGTTCTGGAGCCAGTTATTACTGCTGCGCTACCCAACTGCCACAACTGTTTCTGGCTGTTGTGACCACATATGTAGTAGTTTCAGAGACAGGACAGGAGGGGCAAAGAGGAGTGGAGGGAGATGAAGAGGGGATACGGCTTGAGTTTGGTTTAATTCTCACTTCACCCTTAACAGTCAAAAATTAGAGGGTGAAGTTAGTTAATGCAGCTTTAGGATACCTGTTGGTGGCGTCTAAGGTAGTACATTTGAGTTTTTTTAATACTATGTAGACTGTAGAAGAAACAAGAACACTCAGAGAGCACACATACCTCTGCCAAGGCACAACATTTGCTCATGCAAGTGGGTCGCTTGTGAAAAAGTAGATCCAGAACAACACAAAATCCTTGATCTAGATCAGATCTGGATCTTTTTTTAGGGTATGTGCATTGTTTGAAGCTTTGATAGGTTTCAGATATGCCACCTTAGTGTGAGAGGTTAAGCTGTGTTCCTTTGTCCAGAGGTTAGCAAATAGTGGCCTTCAAACAATAGGCAGTTATACTGTGCATCTTACCTGAACTTTTCAGGGTTCTATCTTCATTATAGGCCAGGTTTAGGCAGAAAACATGTGTTACCTGGGGTTTTCAATGTGAACTTTGAATTGCAGTCAGATCCGGAATCCAAATCAGATCTGGATGAAATTTGGTCTGGTGATAAACAATACCACCCTACATAGGTGTCCTAAATTTCAAATAATTTGATAACTTTTGATGGAGATATGAATTTTAAAAATGTTAAAAATTTTGCCTCATGTTAAAGATAGGGATTTTTGTGACTTCCACTATTTTGTGACCTTGACCTTTGACCCTTTTCAGCCAAAATCTAATCACTTCTAGGGTTGGTTCCCACCAGTGTCTGTACCAAGTATGTTGATCCATCCAGCCATTTGTCCATAATCCTGCTAACCAAACAAACAAACTCGCACACACATGCGGAACCAAAAACATAACCTCCTTGGTGGAGTTAATGAATTTACACTTTCATATTAATGGTTATTGTGTATTTCTAATGGGTGGTTGGCATACCTGCGGTCAGGGAGGAAGTACATTTTTACATAGGGGCTCCTGGGCCGCCCGTCAGGCCGAAGAGGAAGCTCTACAGCCTGTAGCACATTTACTATTAGCTGGTGACCCACTTTGTCATACCACAGCTTCACCTGAGCAGGGAACACAAATGGACACATCTGATACTGCATCTTCATTTTAACACACCACCAGTCCCACACATTCAAAGTGCACACACTCACTGAAAGCTGCCCTGGCATTAACTGTGGAGCATCTTGGACCATTCCGGGACTAGAGGGAGATAGGACATTTAGGGATGGTCTCTCCATCTTCTGGGACTCAAAAGAACTGGAACCTGCTAGGAAGATGAAAGAAAACAATGATTTAAAACCCCAAAGAAAGAATATAAGCTCTGTTTCAGAGGGGGCTAAAACAGTCAAGTCTAGACAAGTCACAGACTTGGGTAGGGGGGCTTCCATGTTGCCATCATCCCCTGTGCTTCTGACCATGTTTTTCTCACTAATTCCTCATGCCTTTTTCAGGGTTTTTAGGCTTTAATTATATGGAGTCTGGTTTTCACTCTGTCCTGCATTTGGTTTGTTATTTTGTTTCGGATGGTTTGTATGTTCTCAGTTTCATCATGCATGCTCCTTGACTGTGCTGTTGGTTTCTTTAGGAGCCTTCTGTGTTGCAGTTTAGTCAGGTTTGAGCTTTTGAGTCTGTAGTCATTTGTGAGGACACTGTCAAACAAATTTTAGAGAACAATAAGACTGACTTTGTTCTTACACTAGCTCTCTAGCTAAAGCCTAGAATGCCATAACATTGAGGTGTGCACAGATCATATACTGTAGGTTTCTGCTGGCTATTGTCCATTGAAAAATACAGTAGGTGCAGCATGTATCTCCTTCTAAAACGACATAGTTTTTATGTCTTTCTGTATGAAATACACAAGTTGCAATGGGCTAGCTTAAGCTTCAGAGGTGTTGATAGTCTTTTCTTCTGGGAGACAGGCCAGCTGTTGACACTTTGAGTTAAGCATGCTAAGCTAACTACCTCTCAGCTCCAGCTCTATAACTGGTGCAGAAGTGTCAGTGCTATCAATTTTTTCATCTAACTCACAAGAAAATAGACAATGTTCCCAAAGTTCCTTTTCATCACAAGTGTTTAACATAGAATCAAGTCTTTCTCTCTGTAAGATCTACAGTTAAAGTCAGATGTTTATGTACAGTTAGGTTGGAGTGTATGTAAATAGAGATATCATTTTGGCAAGTTGGTTATAATGTACTTTATGCATAAGACATTTTTCCAACAGATTATTTCATTTATAATTCACTACATCACAATTCCTGTGGGTCAGATGTTTACATACTCAGTTGACTGTCTTTAAATAGCTTAGAAAATTCCAGAAAATGTCAAAGTTTTATAAGCTCCTGATAGGATAACTGATATCATTTGAGTCAATAGTAGGTCCACCTGTGGATGTATATTAAAAATGTGTATCTCCACAAGTGTGATTCATCCTTGGGCACAATTCCCAGATGTCTGAAGGTATCATGTTCATCCGTACAAGCAATACTACACATGTATAAACACCATGGGACAATGCAGCCATCATACTGCTCAGGAAGATGTGTTCTGTCTCCTAGAGATGTGTTCTATCTCCTAGAGGTAAGTATGCTTTAGTCTGAAAATTACAAATCAATCCCAGAACAACAGCAAAGGACCTTGTGAAGACAATAGAGGAAATGGGTCCTATATCGACATAACCTGAAATGCTGCTCAGCAAGGAAGAAGCCACTGCTCCAAGACTGCAATGAAAAAGGCTGACTATGGTTTGCAGCTGCACATAGGGACAAAGGTCTTACTTTCTGAAGAAATGTTCTCTGGTCTGATGAAAGAAAAATTAACTGTTTGGTCATAATGACCATCATTATGTCTGGAGGAAAAAGGAGGAGGCTTGCAAGCCAAAGAACACCATCCCAACTGTGAAGCACAGGGGTGGCAGCATCATGTTGTGGGGCTACTTTGCTGCAGGAGGAACTGGGGCACTAGACAAAATAGATGGTATCATGAGGAAGGAAGATTATGTGGATATACTGATGCAACATCTCAAGACACCAGCTAGAAAGATAAAGCTCAGTCACAAATGGGTCTTCCAAATGGACAATGACCCCAAGCAGACTTCCAAAGTTGTGGCAAAATGGCTTAAGGACAACAAAGTCAAGGTATGGGAGTTGCCAACACAAAGCCCTGACCTCCAATAGAAAATTTGTGGGAAGAACTGAAGAAGCGTGTGCGAGCAATGAGGCCTCCAAACCTGATTCAGGTCCACCAGTTCTGTCAGGAGGAATGGGCGAAAGCTACAGCAGCTTATTGTAAGAAGCTTGTGCAAGGCATCCTAAAATGTTTATCCAAGTTAAACAATTTAAAGGCAATGCTACCAAATACTAACCGTGTATATACTAACCTGCCATCAGACTCCTAAACAGCTGAGGAGTTTACTACCAGGAAATACGTGATGTACTGTTTACATTCTCAGTTTGCACATGCATAATTGCACATTGACTGCTGACTGCTGCACATGCTGCTCCCATGCAGCATACATTCTCTGTTATATTCTTATATATTTTTTATTATATTGCTGCATTTGCTGCTTAAAGTGCCTTAGATTTTGTGTTACTTATTTATCTACTTTATATTTCATTTGTATTTTGTGGCATTTATGTGGACGGCAAAGTAAGAATTTCATTGTACAGGGAAACATGTTTCCTAACTGTGCATATGACAAATAAACACTTTGAACTTGAAAACTTCTGACCCACCGGGAATGTGATGAAAGTGCCATGATTCTGTCCCATTGGCTTCAGTTCCCATGCTTTTATTTTGACATTACTTCCTGTTTCAGTTTCACCTCAGTTTCGGGCTTTTTACTTTAATCAGCAGTTAGTGTTTACACCTGTTTTCACCCCGTTATAGGCAGCTTTCCCCCACTGGGAAGCTGCCAGATTGTTCTAGACTCCTGTTCAGACTTTCCAGCATTTGTCTTGCACCTGTTATTCCAGCTCTGACCACGGACTACCTTGTGACCACTGAATATTGCCTAACCCCTCTGATTCTGATCGTGTTTTTTGTGTTTTTGACCTTGGGACTTTTCTTTTGACCGTGCTTTCGTGGATACCTTGAACGTGTACGTTTGCTGGCTCTGACCCTGGACTGTATTACTGATCTGAGAGTGTGTTTCTTGTTTAATCGGTTTTCTGTATCGTTTCGTCCATTGACTGTCTCTTATTAAAGAGACAGTTTTTGCTTTTACTCATCTGGCCTTATAATTGAGTTCACCCCTTGACATTATCGGTAGCTTCACGCGCCAATTCCTGACAGTAAGAAATAAAAGCTGAAATAAATCTTTTTCTCTACCATTATTCTGACATTTCACATTCTTAAAGTAGTGATCCTAACTGCCCTAAGACAGGGAATGTTTATAGGATCAAATGTCAGGAGTTAAGAAAAAGTGAGCATAAATGTATTTGGCTAAGATATATGTAAACCTCTGACTTCAACTATAAGTATTTTTATGTATCAAACATATGAATTATCTTAATATTAAGTCTAACTGTATGCATAAAACAGATAATCAGCCAAAGTTAAATAAAGACAAATATACAAACACACAAATACAGATGTGCTCCAATATCCCGCAGGAGATACCTACTAGATTCTAATGGAGGGTGGGATGTGTCGGGGATTCTTGGGATATCACTGAAAAAAGAAACAGCAGACATGTCAGTTTTATATTAATTAACTACAATAGATTAAACAAAGTTAAGTGTCTTTGATGCACAGGCATTCATGCATATTAATGTAAGAACATAAAAAGCTATTTCAGATTCAAATATGGTTAGAAGACACAGAGAAGCAAAGGGAAAATGTGAGTAGAGCCAAGCTCTTCTCATGGCTGCAGTGTTTCCCAGACTTGCATGTACAGTATATTGTAGTTGGGCCAATCATGATCTGAAATGTTCTGTGTAAACCACAATTAAGGATCCCATGGGAAACACCAGAATCCATTATACCAGTTTCATATAATGTAAAGAAATCATGGTAGGTAATCCATGTAACACTTATCAGTGAAATGTGTCACTTAAAATTCAAAATATAAAAAGCATAAAACCTTGGTATTTTAAATTTGCAGTCCCACCACTGACATTTTGAGGGTTTTTTATTAGGTTTGGCAGCACACACATACGTAGACTGTAGTTGAAATTCTTCAGTCACTCATAGGAGAACAAACAGATACAGTATTCTACACTACTTTCTATAAAGTAATATTTCTATACTTTCAAATTTACATTTAGTTTCTTTTTGAAAGTAAGATGAGAAAATGAATATCACTAACATGTCATAGAGTAAAGGGCTGAGCTGGCATAGGACTTTTGATTTTAAATCCAAACATTCAACTGATAAGTGTTTCATGGGCCCTAGGCTGCCTTGGAGCCCACTACAAAATCAAAGCTTGAAACCATGTATATGAAATAAAACAAAAATTGCTTGCTTAATGAATCCAAATGTCCCAACTTTCAAACAAAGGACTTAAGAGTTACGAAAAGAAATCTGCGGTTAGGTTTTACTTTTAGATTCCTCACTCTTTAACAGGAATTAAAAAAGAGGAATCCCAGATGCTGCATAAACTGTGTAAAAAAGCTGGTAAAAGCAAAGTTACATTGATGAACACTTCCTCCTGGTCATTTTGCATCCCTTCATGTGAACCTTCAGTTTAACTTAGCTGTAAATGAACTGCATTTCTTTTTGCAATGCCAATATTTGCATTAATTTGCATCCCTACTAAACAGGATTCAATTCAATCTGGGATACAGAATGGCACCAACAAAACAAAAACGATTTCCATAAATGTGAGAGGATTAAGGGTTCCTAATAAAATGGGCAGATTACTTACTGATATTTTCTATACACCCTTCGCGAGTGTTTGGAGAGAAATTAATACATTCAACTTTTTTCCACCAAAGAGATGAGGTTAAATCTTAACAAAAGCTGGAAAATCTTGAAGAAACAGTGAGTGTTTTATTTTGAAATACTGTTCAAAGTAACTACAAGAAGCTTATCTTACAACAACTTTGTAAAAAATAAATAAATAGTGAAGCACAACTTGTACATTTGTTTCTCAGTATCAGATGTCACTGAGTAACATGCATATTTTGATTTGTCTTTCCAGAATAAAGCTAAAGTGCGTTTTCTTATTGTATTAGAAGAATATCAGAAATATGTGAATGCGCACATCAAAATTCAGACCTTACATCTGATCCCAGAACACAGTCATGACTTTTTGGTTTTGGACATTTTAGGTTCAAATGTGTAAAATGATTTGCAACACTTTATTTTATAGGTATGTAATTGCATAACAGTTTTCCATTAATTTCCATGAATGTTTTTTTGGACAGAGTAATGTAATGTATTACTAATTATGAAGAAACAAAGGCACAGTTACATTAATAAAAATTCTGAGTGAATAAAGTCCAGTGAATTGCTACGGTATTATTTAAGAAAAACTTCCAACAAAATGATAAAGATATTATTTTGAAGAGACCTGATAAATAATGAACTAGTACTTTTTTAAAGACATCTGCTCCTGACATAGAGTGAGATAAGCTGAGCCGGTGTCAGTATCTGAGCATACAAGCAAGTTATCTGAATAAAACTGTGGTGGTGAATTTTTAAAAATAAATTTCAAACTTTACAGTTCCTCTCACATCACATGCATTATATGCATCATTTATCTAAGCATAGTGATCCTGTGAATTTCACACAAATCAGATTAATTCTGCAGTTGTTTGAACATACTGGCAAAAACTAAATGCATGTATCATATTTAGAAATACATGCTGTATTTGAATTGAGACTTCAGGGCATTCAGTGATAGCGAGAACAGATTAGTAAAAACTGAATTAGGTAAAGAAAGATTCATCAATAAAGATATGAAGTCAGAACTCTGCACCTGGCTGCGTGGAGCTATTAAAATCTTACCTCCTATTCCACCTCTTACTTCAAATTCATAGCTCTACTTTATTCAGATTAAACAAGGGTTATAGTCTAGGAAAGACTACATTCACAGTATTTCTCAAGCAGTATACTATGATAGTGAACTTTCCTTTATAGACCTGAATCATTATAAAAAGCATATCAACCCATACCTGGCTTAGGATAAACACATTTATTATTTAAGAATATGCAATCATAATTTAAATTGATATACTAATTCAAAGGAGTCATCTTCAGAGTTCATGAGAAGGGACCAACTTTACTTTTTACAAGGGATCAACCAGAAATATGTGATGCATCCACTTCTTCTCTGTCATGGAGCTTACAGCTGATGTTATTTGGTCAATAATAATTAATGTTATACCATCCTATAAATAAACCTAAGTGCTTTTCCAAAGGGGATGTATGAAATAAAATGAAAATCTCTTGCCTAAAACCTTGGAAACCCCAAAGCAGCAGGTAATGGCTGGCTGTTTTTAATATTGTGAATGCAGTTGTACAGTTGCACTTGGAATACAAATCAATGTCCCTGTCTTCTATCTTATCTGAGGTCAGCCAGCTCTGAGTCAGAGCTTCAGTTAATACTGCCTGGTTAAGTAAGGGCTAAATATAATGCAGCATGCAGACTGGTGACTGACTCATAAAACCGAAGGGTTGCATCTTCCACAAATACTAGAATATGACACTGACAGTGTGGGTGGCAAGTGGCTATGTTTCATTCCTGACTTACCCAATAGGCCTGGATACCACCAGCTCCACTTGAGGCTCAGCTTGAGACTCCAGGATGATGTTGTAGACTTCCTTCATGGTCGCCCCCGGTAACAACTTCCCGTTCCACTGCAAAACCTCATCCCCTGAAACCAGACGTACGTGTACATGAGAAAGTATTTGTGATGGCAGTTTTACATAAGCAGCAGCTACAAATTATACAGGATTATTCAAAAACAATGAACCGATTTCATTACACAATATTTTATTAAGGAAAAGTCATACAATACTCCAGCCAACAACAGCGATCAACTCAGTGGATTGTGATATGCTAATACGCGCCTGGGAGGAATTCTCTTATCGCATTGATGTTGCCCGTGCTGCAGGTGGTGGCCACACTGAACACTTGTAAGACAGGAAATAAAAGTTGATTGTGAGTAGAATACTTGTGACTTGGCTGGAGTTTTGTATTACTTTTCCTTAATAAAATACTGGGTAATCAAATTGGTTCATTCTTTTTTGAATAACCCTGTATTTACCAAGCTGGGCATGAGCACTGAACAGGTTATCAGCAGGCTTTAAAAAAGGCAAATAATTCCTGTTAAAATCATATGTCTGGAACCAGAAAAACATTTAGGAAAAATAGTCCATTGCGCAGCAAAACAAGGAAAACTGAGAATAACCCTGCCCCAGATACACTATTTGCCTGTAGGCAGTGGTTTGTAGATGATAAAAACCCACCATGGAAAGAAGCAGAAAACCTAGTTGCCCCAGTAAGATTAAAGGACTTCATATTTTCTTCCATTGGTGTCCTGAGAAATGGTCCATTGTCTGCCTGGCACATTTGGTACCGTTATCCAAGCATACTAATGTTGGCAAGACATTATATGGACCATCTCAACTTTGACAAATAGGGATTTTCCAGTGGATCCAGCACTCTACTATCTTAATGTCTTATCAGAACTACCACTCCAATAAAAGTCAAGCAAGATATGGCTGGCTGGTACATCAGCAGTCACGCTTATTGCTCAAACACTGATGCTCAAAACCTCCTTGATGTTATGTTTCATGAACTATCAGCTGCTAGAATAAACGTCTTAAAACAGCTATGCATTGCTTTATTTGCATTGTGTTATTATACAAGTGCTATGCAGACAGCAGGGAATAGTCACTTTGTTAGGGACTATTTTCACTGGCAGATTAATACACATTTGGGGCTCTATTTTCTTGCAATAGGGTGCAATGCTAAACTCATGTCTAAACTACAGGTGCAAGGGACATATGGGTTTGTTCAACAATGTTTTGCAGTTTTTTTTGACCACAGACGTCTGTGTGCAACCAGGCATTACTGGGCGCATTGTGGAGGAGAAGCGGAATACATTATTAGAGGGAGGAATACATGGTGAGCAGGTGGAGCTGGGGCTGGCTTTAGTTATGTCCAATCAAACCAGTTCCTGTCATCCTTTTAAAGAGTAGGACGTAAACCTGACTGACTGATGTCAGGACATGGAAATATATGAGAAAAAAAAATTCTTTCCCTGTACCTTCTTCTCCTGACAGTTATTTTTTTCCATTCCAAAACTGACAGTGACAAAACTATTTATTAAAAGTACTGCACAGAAATATTCACTTAGTAGTCTGCTAATATCACTGACCAGTGTTTGTGCATGAAAGTCTCTGATCCTGAAACCAGCAGCAATTATACGTATAGTGAAATTTACTCACAGCTGCATCCAGTGCGCAAAATTATTCATAGCAGGAAAATACTAAACATACCAAGAAGCAAAAAAGCAGACATGCACCCAAGGAAATCTGCACAATGACTGTGACTGAAGCGACACAGAAAATGCACTGGAAGGAAAACAGAAACCAACGTCATTGTTTAAAACAGATGCAAAAGATGGAAATCCTTCTTAATCTGAGAGTTTAAAAAATTTGTATCAGAAATACACCTGCTTATTGCATGTTGACAAAAATAAGACTTCTAATAACTGCTTTAAAGACACTTCATTGCCTTTAAAGTTTTACATTTAAAGCACTATGTTATGATTTGTGGACTTGCTTCCTGTTTGAGGCTTTTATTTTGGTTAGTTTCCTGTTTTCTGTCACCTCACCTGCCCCAGCTTTACTCCAGCCTACAATCACCACTCATTGGGTTCACCTGTCCCTTGTTTTCCTCCTGGTCTTTTGTGTATTTATACTCCCTCTTTCCCCTCAGTCTTTTGCTGGTTCATTTTGTCTCCACACCTTGCTGCTTGTTGTCTGTTCATTACTCACTAGTCACCACACCCTGCCTGTTCACGTGCATTGTGGATTTTCAGTATGTGCTTTCAGGTTTTTTTGTGGTTTTGAGTGCTTTTGCCTACTGTAGCTCCCTGACTGGACTGTTGTAAGTTTCTGTCAGTGTTCTCTGTTACTTGTGTCAGGTTGAGCCTCTTGTGTTTTTTGCCCTAGTCCAATGTTACAATCTTTCATTAAAAGACAGTTTAATCAACTCTTTGGCTTATGTGTTTGCACCTTAGGTCCTGCTTAGCTGGTGAACTATAACAAACTAAAGCTTTTGGTTGTCAAAAGACTTGTATGAACATTCTGGCTACCTGCTCTGAGATGTCCCACCACATCAGCAAGGCTTCCTTTCTTGACTTTAGTGATGAAGGCACCTAATCTCCCCGACTCTGTTACTCTGCCTCCCACCACCTGGAGCGAGCGAGAGAGAAAGAGAACAATTTGTCATATTTGTAGATGGTGAAATTACTATTGTTTATAAAATAATAATCACACACAAATGTGTGCATGTACTGTGTTGTTAAACCCCACTCTGACCTTTAACCCCAGCAGAGCACCAGCTTCTTTAGACATAGCAGTGCTCCTCTTGCTGAGGGTGATTCGTCCAATTAGATGGTCTCCCTCCTTTGATGGCTGCCAGGTTACAGGATGCTGCAGGAAACAAGAGATATGTACAGATGCACTCACTGCCTCTCACAAGACATGTATGCATATAGTCTTTTTCCTCTTGCACATTTGCAAAATAAAAGAATACAAAAACCAACTACTAGAAAAATATTAGCAATGTATTTGCGCCTGTAATATATTTTCTATTTCTATGCATTTTTTACTTTATCTCATAATAGGTTCGCACTTAGTCCAAAATTACAACAATTGGCATAACCTTACTTGGAATACATTAAAGTTTTGCTACCACCTATCTGATGCAGTTTCCTTATAGTTGATCACACAGGAGGCTGTAACAGTTTGCAGCATTTTTCTAGGAATAAAGTAGTTTGCCAATATCTGTGACCAACTGATTTAACACAACAGTCGCACGGTAATTTTGCAAAAGCATTTACGCTTGCAGGTGTAAACACTCAGGGTCTGGGAAAAGTCGTAGCAAATGAGAAGTCGTGTGTTTTACTGTACATTGATGGATCCACTGGAATAAAAAAACAGCAGAAAGACAAAGTTCATCAAGAGAAGATGTAAAAAGTACAGAACCCATTGAGTGAAAAATGACTACCCCTGCAATTAGCACTTGACAGCACCAAAGGCAGTCATACATACTTCACGTGCACATAAATTTTGACCTGCCTATAATTTACTTTAAAAAAAATCTGAAACTACTTCATGCTGATTTGAAAACTTAACATAAAAACTATTATAGGATATAGTGACTTACATGCCAAACAGTGGGGTCATGTGGGTAGCACTCCCAGTCGCCTGCAAGGGAAAACACATCGACTCAGACTTTGTGGGTGTAGCAATAGAACTGATGGCCTCTACTGAGGCAGCAATGACATCAAAGCACAATGCCTTAATTCCGTTCCAGATATTTTACAGATTAGATGTTGTGAAATTAGGGGTGGCTGTGGCTCAAGAGGTTGTGGTTGTTGCCCAACCAGAAGGTTGGCGGTTTGATTCCCCTTCTCCACAGTTTACGTGTTGAAGTGTCCATGGGCAAGACACCAAGCCCCAATTTGCTCCTGATGGCCAAATGCCTCGCAGGGACAGCGCCACCATTGGTGTGTTGGCATTGCAGATGGCTGCCTCAGTTCTGTACCAGAGAGTGTAACATACTTGGCCAATAAAAGTGATTATCATAAAAAGTGATTATCATTAGTCCAAGAGTGATGCAGTGATGTATAGCTACATGGAAATTAAGATTTGGAAACGTGACATCCAACGGCTGGGCACGACACTGAGCCGCCCCCCCCCCCCCCCCCCCACGCTGGCGCACGCAGCCTGGGGCAGTCAGCTCCAAACATAATTTCATTGTACATGTCACAATGTTACAATGACAATAAATAAAGCTGCTGCTGCTTCTTCTTCTTCTTAAACAAAGAGCTGTTATTCATATATGGAGGCTGGAGTGTACTAAAAGAAAAAAATTAGACTTTGATCATGTTTCTAACAATCAGTGAATAACTTTATCCATTTCATTCAAAAAGCTATAATAACTTTGTTAATGAAAAATGCAATTAGATCATACATGCTTAAAAAAGAAAAATGTGTCTATAAAGTGCTATAAAAACAACATATTTAATCTAATTTAATTAATTCTATTTACTTTTTCTGTCTTCAAAGAATTAGACTTAAAATGGAAACATTGTGATTTTAACATTGAATCAATTTATTAACATTTTAAGAAAAGGTTTTAAATTCTGCATGGTGTTACCTTTACTTTTGTCCCTGCCTATCATCCATCCATCTCACAGTTTGCTTCCTGGTTTAACATATACATTTCATAACTGCTTGCATGTAATGATAGTTCTGTCTATATCAAAGCTATGTATTCAGTGTGCCATCTAAAAATTAAATAAAGTCTAACTCAGAGCAGTAGTAGGAGCTCTCACTGGCCATAAGTTTATGGCACTACAAATTAACTTTGAAGATTTGTGTCACTAAGTTGTGAAAATTATATGATACAGTTTGACTTAAATTCAAGAGGTGTTTGTAAGAAAGATAAAGCTACAATAAATGATGTGCATGCAAAACACATTCTAATGATTATTTTAGGGGGGGTCTCAACAGGAACTAGTGCAGTTTTCATCATGCAGTATATCCAGCAGGATACAGTATATGAGACAATCAAAGAAAATATTTTCAACTGTTTAGCCCCATCTCCTGCATTAGTCTGAAAATGCAGCTTCCTCTGTACACACGAGCCGGGGACAGTGCTGAAATGTGTGCAGGACCTCAAAGACATCATGACAGAGTAAAACTGAGCCAAGCGCTCCAACAAGCAAGGAGACTATGACGTTAAGGAGCTGTGACAACTTACAGTGACATTATGCAATCTTGGGGATGGCTGTGGCTTAGGAGGTAGAGCGGGTCGTTTCATACCTGGAGGATTAGCGGTTCAATTCCCAGCTTGTCCAGTCAACGTGTCGAAGTGTCCTTGAGCAAGACACGAAACCTCTAATTGAACCCAGTGATAACACCGTTGTGTGATGTCAGAGCCCTTGCTGTAAATGGTCTTATACTTGTATACGCTTTACACTCTACTTGGCCATTCACACACCGGTGTTATCACTGGAAGCAATTAGGGGTTTTAGTGTCTTGCTCAAGGACACTTCAACATGCTGACTGGACAAGCCGGGAATTGAACCTCTAATCCTCCGGTTAGGAAACGACCCGTTCTTATGAAGTCCCAACTTGTTCAGTCAGTTCTTTTCTACCTGGAGCCATGTTGCATGAGACACAACACAGGCTCCAAGGTGCAACCTCACTGAAACTAAAGCACAAATGTACACCTGTGACCACTGCAACAAAAGTGATTACAGCTTCCAATTATGCAACATGGTTCCAGCTAGAAAAGAACTGACTGAACAAGTTGGGACTTCATAAAGATGGGAGAGGGTATATCAGTAGGTTACTCAACATGAGCTGAAACACAGCTACAGCAGTGGTTAGGAGGCATCAGAGGAGCTTCACTACCAATAACAGAAAGCACAGTGGTAGGCCTAAAAAAATAACAATATACACATTTAATATTAAAGCGACTTTGCACTGAAAAACAGGTACATCAGTCTTGGAAGAAATCAGATTTTAAGCTAACAACAGCTGCCCTGTGTTGTTCTTTATTGGATTTGGGAACAAGTGTTTCAAAAATTGTTGAAATGCTACATTTTTAAGTGGTAAACCCCCATTACAGTATCATTCTAAAGTGTTGTGAATTTTTAAAATAGAAGATATATGGTGGAGAAAAATTCTAATTTGCAATTGCTGTTGAATTCTGGGGCAATAGGATGAAAAACTCAAAGAAAAGGAGGTTAAAAGTGTATTAAATGCACATGTGCGATTTGTGTGTCTTTTTTTTTTGTGACTGGCTACATATTTCAGTGTGTATGTATATTTTCCTGCATGGATTTTAGAATGATTTACTGGCTGGACACTTCTCAGCTGCCAGCAAGCACATCTCAGAGCTGACCGTGTCTCAGACTCGAGCTAAAAAAGGAAACAATGTCTCACTGCCACAACGGTGTGTTTAAAACCTAGTGTGACAGAACACTCTCAAATGGAGGTTTAGCCTCCATTCGATTGATGTCATAGGATCTGGCCTGGGTTCAGGCTGGTGCTTGTGCCCTCTTTTCCAATGAATGCACCATATTTTATCAGTCTGTCATAATATTGAGCATGGTTACAGTCAGATGCATTGTGTTTGTTAAATACTGTCATGGTTATTAGGTAGTGACTGTGAAATTACATAAACTGTTGTGTTTTATTTTTAGAAAAAAAATCCTCATGCTAGCATGGTTTTATTTTATTAGAAAATATTTACATTTGCTACCATAATACATTATCAAGGGCTAAGTCACCTAATAAGTCTTTGCTTGTTTTTAAAGATGAGAATAATTTAGGCATGTTTACTCTTTTAGAAGGTGTTTAAAACTGTACAATCTTCATTTTGCTACACATAACAAACCAGCCATAACATTATGAGCAAAGGCTAACCTGTGTTAGAGCTACTGTAGTACAAACTGTTGGAAAACTTAATCTGATAGATTGATCCTGATTACAAACTGTTGGAAAACTTAATCTGATAGATTGATCCTGATAGCTGATTCTGATAGAAAGATCAGAACACACAGGGCATCGCAGCTTACTGTGACTGGGGCTGCTTAGCCACAAACCGGTCCAAGTACCACTTCTGACCTGTCTGCTGCTGAAAGTGCCTACAATGTGAATGTGAGGATCAGAACTGGACCACAGAGCAGTGGAAGAAGGTGGCCTGGTCTGATGAATCACGTTCTTTTGCACTATGTGGACGGCCGAGTGCTTGTGCATTGCTTGTCTGGGGAAGAGATGGCACCAGCATGCACTATGAGAAGAAGGCAAGCTGGCAGAGGCAGTGTGATGCTTTGGTTAATGATCTGCTAGGAAAGCTTGGCTCCTGCCATTCATGTGCATGTTACTTTGACACATACAGTACAACCTACTTAAATATTGTTGCAGACCTAGTACACCCCTTCATGGCAATAGTATTCCCTGATGCCAGTGGCCTCTTTTAGCAGGATAATGCTTCTGACCACACTGCAGAAATGGTTCAGAAATGGTTCGAGGAGCACAACAATGAGTTCATGGTGTTGACTTGGCTTCCAAATTCTCCTGGTCTCAACCCAATCAACCATTTGTGAGATGTGCTGGACAAACAAGTCCGATCCATGATGGCCAAACCTCGCAACTTACAGGACTTAAAGGATCTACTGCTGATGTCTTAGTGCCAGATACCAGAGGGCACCTTTAGAGGCCTTGTGAAGTCCATGCCTCGACAGATCAGATCTGTTTTGGTGGCAGAAAGGGGACCTACACAATACTAGGCAGATGATCATAATGTTATGGCTGATCAATGTATACTGATGACAGCAGTCACAGCATTATCATTTACTGTGCAAATAGTTGAGATGTTACAGGCTGGATCAAGGTGGTGGAAGACTGACAATCTGATAACTGCATCCCTAAAGCTTGGCCAATACTGTGTCAAAAAATGTTACAATTACCACAGCTTATGCTAACTGCTAACTTCTGTGAGCTTGTGATAGTCACATAATTTAGTTGTTTTATAAATGTCTACATTGCAGGACTTTCCAGGGTTTTAAGTAATGAAGGGAAACCTTTCTTTCAACTAATATTTCAAAGAATTCAGGATTTGTATCAAATATTACCTTGCTACCAGGAAGGGATACCTGTAAGTTCCATTATAATATTACAGTTATCAAATTCACAGATTATATTTCTTGTCTCTTCAGTAATATTGTCCAGCTCCAGCCACAAGACCTATTCAGTGGAGTTGGTTGTTTGCAAACATACAACCAGACAGGTAGAATCTTCCTGGAATACACAGCAGTGAGCCTGAGTATTTTGAAAAAATTAGCAGTGAAGTGACATAACAGAGCTTGAAGATGACAGGAGGGTTAACATTAAGATACACACGCACACAGGCTCGCACACACTGGTACTTTGCACAGCTGCTTACTTTGACATTCAGACTGCAGGCTACGGACCCCTGCATGCACTGTGCACAAAAGTTTGAAAACATTGCAGGAGGTGCAGGGTTCCTGCAAGTAAAGACAACAAATATCAGATGCTGCATGTAGAACGTTCGTAAGATGCTAATGTTTTCAAGTAGTTTGGTGGGTAATACTTTGGATTTTAAGAACACATAACAGGATAAATAGTTAAAACATGCAGTATTTTCCAAAGTCAGTAAATCATACCAGAGTAGCCTTACCAGTTGTGATCACTGAACACAGAGAATTAAAGCAGAGATGTGTCTCCAGATTCACAAAGTCTGAATGAAGGTGGTGTACTGAGATTAAACAGCTCTCTCCCCTTTTACATTCACATCCCATGACACAGTGTTCAAGTGGGAGGGTTCAAACATGCACACACAAGTTGTGTTTCCATTACTTCAGGGGACACTGACTGGGATACTGAGAGCCACTGTACCAGAGTCAAATTCCTCATGTGTTCAAAATACCTGGCCAATAAAGCTGATTCTGATTCTGACTCACATTTTTTGAAGACTTAGCCCAGCCCCTAATACCTAAACCTACGCTCACCTTAACCTTAAACTAAGTCATCACTTTGTAAAATTTGAATCTTATAGGCTTCAGTCACTTTATAATCTTTAGTTACTTTTCATACCTTTAGTTCCCTTTCATAACTTTATTTTCCTTGCTTTTTTATCTTTCAATTGTATTGATGAAAGTCAAGTGATACTGAAGTAGAAACTGCCTGCTTTAACTTCTGTGTAGACATAGTGTCTGTACTTTCAGGTAACCAGATGGCCTATTTTATATTTTAACTCAGACCTGTTGGCCTGTTTTGCATCCTCACATAGGCCCGCTTAGCATATTCCAAGTTCTGCTTTGTCATGTAATATCTTGCAGAGACAGGGGGCCTACAACCTGAGATGACCACCTGGCCCATTTAGCATATTCCCCAGATCCTGCTTTGTCCTGGAATAGCCTATGCACATACGGGTCTGCAGCTGCAAACATACAATTGTTTAATAGTTATGTTGTGTGATACTGCCTGGTTTTCTATCACATTCCAGCAAGCAGGCGTGAGCAGAGCTTGGCCAGCTCATGCCAAATGGCCAATAGGATTACAAAGTGTGAAATGTTGTAACTCTGTCCAGGGCAGACCTAGCCCAAGAAGATAAATGTAATGAGAAAACGTAACTCATGGTTCAGAGAACGGATTTCCTGCATGAGCTCTGGCTCTCTGATCCCAGCGCTGTGTGACTTTGAGGAAACTTCCTGTTGATTTTATACAGTCCTCTCCTGTCTTCACTTCTCGCACTTTCAATAAAAGAACCGGGTATAATCTAACAGATGGGGGCTCGTCTGGGAGTGATTGATGTGGAAGTGGAGATCTGTGGAGAACTGAGGACGCGCAATCTACGGAAATACTCCAGACATTTTGCTGGCTTCATAAACAGGTGAGCTGGAAACATTTCTAAATATAGAGATTTTATGCATATTGGGCACTCTAAAATGTTGAATTGTCTGATTGAGGATCTTTCTCGATTGGTAAATTGTTCTAAATTTGTTAAGAGAGGTAAAGCGGTTTGTCTTTTATTTTGAAATGTAGGCCCGTGTAATGTAAAAATCACATAGTCTCACATGAGGGAAATTAGATTATTGTCCTAGCATTAGATTGTTTGGTCCCATAAAAGACATAAAATTCATCATATGAATGAATAACCACTGAGGGTTGTCTCCAAATCAAGTAGGACATTTGATACCATTTTGTTCTTTGACTGAACCCGATGCTGCTAAAAAGAGTGTTGATCCAGATTTATAAAATAAACCTGATGCCGCTAAAAAGAGGATTGTTGTGAACAAATCACTGAATAGTGATGTTTGGCTACAGTTAAAATCATTAATAAGGACACAAGTTTGTTTTTCACATTATTGTGGGGTGGTTTCCTACTTGAAAGAGATTTTCGACTGTCTTGAGAAACAGCATATCAAGCAGCTTCCTGTTTGAGAATTCCTGTACTCAATTACAGCTCAAGTAGTTTTGTTTTGGGGGGCTTTGGAAGAGCAGTTTGGGATTATAGAATTACGGTATTGCAATTTTGGTGTCTAAAACATTTGACTGGGATACCCTCAAAAGCCAAGCACACAGTCTCTGTGTAGAAGCTTCTTGGCTGGGTCTGTCATGTGGGCGCTGTGCCATTCACCGAAATTTGTTAATACATGTTTGTCTAATTTACAATGGCACTAAATATATGTAAACAATGGAAAGAGTGTAAACCCAGCACCTTGGGGTTGGTAGTGTATGTAGCGGCCACGAGGTGGCAAAGGAAGGTTGTCTTAAAGACGAAGGGAAAGAATTAGAAAGATTTACTGGTTTGGTTGAAGATATGCAAGACAAGGGATGTTACATCCTCTCCTGTGTCTAATGTGAAAGAAGAGCATCACTGTGAATGACAATGTCTTGTTTATAATTGGACAGTAGTCCCAATTCCACGTTAAATGAGATTCCAGTCAGGTTTTGTGTCTGTAGTCTATTCACACTGGAAAAGCCATTAAGAAAACTCACTTTTGATTTTTGAGTGTGCTTCTGTTGGACAGTTGTCCCATAATGCATTGCGCAAAGGAGGTGAGAATTCTTAAACTAGTAGTGTGGTAGACAAAATATTTATTTTAGAAAGTAAAAATTGCAAACTGATTATGAAAAATATATTAAAGAAATCAAGCCAGATATATATCGCAGTTTCACATGAGTGCTATTGCTGAAAATTCATACCAGCTCAAAAATATGTGGCTCAGGAAAGCCCAACACACAAACTGGTAAGACTAGACTAGTCACTGAAGATGTGTTTTGATAAATAGAAAGTTGCTTGTCATTTTAATTCATTTTACTGCCATTGCTATTATTTTGGTACCTAATTTATTCCGTGGCTCAGAAAGATTTGGCCTATTATTTAGAAATAACTTTTACAATAACAAAAACACTGGCCCTGATGACTTTGAGAAAAGTCCTTTCTCTGTGGAAAAAAAGTGTTTATCTACACTACCCATTAATAAAGCATCTGGTGCGGATCTTGTTCTAGCCATTTCTGATGGACAGTGCTGCTATACTGCACTTTCTACTTTAGTTTCTCATATTGTCAATTAGTCTATCCACCGGGGTCATTTCCCCTGTGATCTTAAAAGGGTTCAAGTTTTTTTTTTACAGAAAAAAAGATGTAGACCAGATGTTGGAAATTATAGCCCAGTATCCATTTAAACAACAATATCCAAAGATTTTGAATACCTTGTGTATGAGCAGGCTGAGGAGTATTTATAGTCAGACCCAATACAGTATGAGCTTCATTTTGGATTAAGAGCAGCATACTGACACCTGTCTTATTCATCATATGATTTCATTAGACAAAACCTTGATGGAGGAAATTATCTTGGCATGACTTTGCTTGATTTGCAAATGTCTTTGACACTATGAATGACACCCACTACTATATGGATGTCAATGTTACAATGCATAGCGTTTGGACATACTGTACCACTGTAAAACAGATTACCTTACAGGAAGAAGTCAGATGGAGTGCATAAGTATTTATAAAATTACTTTTATTTCTTACATATATCATATACTGTATCGTTATATTAGAGCTGTTATTAGGATTTTAGTACTGACCTGATGAATACACAAATGAAATGACAGATGTTCATACTGACATACAGACAGTGATGTCCCTCACCTCTCTCGCTGACACTCTCGATCTCAGCATCCTCACAGCTGCTGTACTCAGGTGTGGTCCCTCCCTCCTCCTCTGAGCTGCTGACGCTGGTTTGTCTCTTCCCCCCGGCTCCCAGCCCCCGTTTTGACTTGTAGGGCCTTGGTGGTGGCGGACGCAGAGTTTCTGACTGGTCAGAACTAAGTGAATCATTGCGCAGCATACTCTCAGCCTTCTCCCGTTTGGTCCGTCTCACTGCAGGTCCATGGTCTGGGGCTGAACCAGGGCCCGAAGTAGAGGGCTCTGTGAGTTGAGGGGGAGGGGCTTGCTGGGCAAGGATGTGTTCATGTGGCCCACCAACCCCACCCAACGTCCTCTGAGCAGGCCGAGCACCATCCCCAACCTCCCCTACTACACCCATGTCACAACCTGGTACAGGCACAGGGTGTCCCTGGCCTCCAGTAGGGATGGGCCCTGCTTGGTGAGGGGGGCCACTGCTATGGTCCATGTGGTGGTAGCCCCCCTCCTCTGTCTGTCTTACTCCACCAACTCCTCCTACCGGATCATGCTCGAGAGAGCGTCCCTTGGTCAGCCTTCGGCACTCCCTGGACTCCCCCCGGAGGTCCCGGTCCATGGAGACCTGGGTTTGCAGCCTGGGCTGCCCTGGCCACCGCTCTCCCCGACCTGCCCCTCCACCTCCCCGTCCATTTCTCCTGGGGGACAATCAATAATGAGGATGGAGATGTAAAAAAAAGGTCCAGTGAGAGCTGTCATATTAGAAGGCATTGTAATTCAGGCATGAATTTTCAATTTTATGTTAGATTTACATGCTGGGGAAATTGTTGTGTCAGATTAAACTCACTAAAAAAGCTCACAAACACAAAAATTTGTTATTAGCATTACAACCATGTTAAACATGGTTTTTAACACATAAAACGACTTGTAAATCATTATGTGAGTTTCTAAAAATAATGCTAAGTGAATCTTTAGTACAGTCACTTTTGTTAATTATCCTACACTGTCGTGAAAGTTTGGTTGCAACTGATGATTGTGTTCATTATTATTGACATATAGACTTAACTGTTCAGACTTTTACCTATCAGAAAATAGCAAGCACAGGTCAACAGCCACATTAGCAGTCCTCTCTGTCTGTGCTGAATGTTAATATCTGCATGGTTACAATTACAGTGTTACAATGCTAATAATGTTTACTATGTTTACCACCATTTTTAGCATGTTAACATGCTGTCATTTGTGAGTAGTTTTGACAAGTGAAGCGATGTTTCACTCAAAAGTAGATGTCAAGCAGATGTCAACCTCATACTGATGCTAGAGGATAAGTCAAGGGAATCACCAAAGTCAGCAGGATTTAACCTCTAGGGACCATGAATATCATTTATTGGCAAATTCAGTAGTTACAGTACTGAGAAACTTCAGTCTGAGCCAAAATGGTGTGCTGATTAACTGACACCATCACTAGAGCCACATTGCTAGCATGGCTAAAGATGCCAATCACCAGTTTCCTTTTTCCAAGGTGCCTTCAGAATTTAGTTTTGTTTGACTATTGACTACCATGGACATGGCATCAGCACTTCCCTCCACTATGCAAAAATGAAGCCAAAATATCATGAATACGGCAGCAGCCATCTTACTTTCTTGTAACCAGAATCTGCGCAGTAGCGACCAGAAATAGAATGACCATGTAACCACACCATCCACAGTCAAAGCCCCCACCTGGGGAGTCTCTGTTGCATGTCATATCTCCCCTCTGCCCATGTTGCCTTTTTATCTCTCCACCAGCTTTCAAAATAGACTAAATAACAAAAATGTCACACTGATTTTTACAACACCACTTGTGGCCTCTATAAATGGAAGGTAAATAATTTCACTGAGTGAATGTTATGGAAGAGACCCTATGAAATTTCACTGCTTTAACTTATGCTTCCTTTTTAACATGACTATTTACTCATACTAATAAATAACACTGGTACCATTTCATTGTTAACATAAGTGACCACTAATAGAAAGTCATGAATGGAAATGCATTCTACTATCCAGTCTGTTTAGGAACCCACTGCATTCTTCCATTATCCTCAGAATGGCATAGAAACAATGACAAAGGCTGCTTTCTTAAGAGCCATAATCCAGCACATCATACTGTAAGTAATAAATGCAAATGATAATACTCAACAGTACAAATATTAACATAATTTAAAAGAACTGCTTTATTTCCTGTGACTAAGAGAACACGTGCTAAAGGGGCACTCCACCAACTTCTCCCAGCAAGATCACTTGTCATGTTTAGTCCTACACGCTATCTGTGAACACTTGTACAGTATAATCATACTTTCTGTGGCTCTGGACAATCTTTCTGAAGTCTAATAGCCTTATAATTTGACTTCACTGCGGTTATCTCTACTGTAGAGACTACCAAGTTATTTTTTTTTTTACTTGCATTTTTACATGTAAATTAAAGATGTGAGGAATTTACCAGGCAAGGGTGGTCCTACAAAGATGTTGTACAGTTGAATTATGGGATTTGTAGGATTCTGTTTCTTAGGGCTTGACCCATAAAAGGGACTAAAAGACACAATGTCTCACCCAATTTTACTTTGATTTTCACCCTTTTCTATCTGTCTCTCACATCACAAAAGTACAATGCTGAATTGCTGTAGTATCCCTTTAAAGAAATAAATGGATGCCAAGGTTCTCAAATGGGGATGCAGAGTAGTTAGTGGCATTCTTCAATTGTAATGAAACAGTTTCCTTTTGCTTGAAACAGACATTCTGATAGAGAGCCCTGGGTGTGCAGTTGTTTCTCTCTCTCTTTTTTAAATTTATTTCAAAACTATTGTTTAAGTCTCAGCTGACAATATCTGCAGGTTTTTGAAGACAGAGGATGACAATTTAAAGCTGATTCATACCAGACCTTAACCAAACTGAACATCTATGGGAGGTTGTACAGTAAAGTGTGATATAAACTTTAAGGCAAAGCTACCAGTCAATCTCTGTAAAGTAAAACAAATATTTCTTTAGTTTGTTCACATCTGTCACATATGCTACCTTTATTTTGTCATATTCTGCAATATTGCTTGATCTTACGAGTCTCGTGGTGGTTCACTACGTGATCGTCCATCGGTGCCAAGAGTGGTCCTGGGTGCACTAGATCGGTTGGCATCTTGTATTGTGCTGGTGGAGCCCGGAGGTACTTGGGAGTGAGATCTGAGCTTCTTATCCCCAGGTGTTTGGTACACAGACGGCTCGCTGACAGCTGAACCAAGCCCAGCTGGCTTTCCAGACGGACTGGTGAACCACTCGCCTGGCTTTGTGAGGATTTCCTGCTGCTTCCGGCAGTTATTACACACCCAGATCACCTAAGAAAGCCACGGTACATGTGTAGATTTTCATTATTACATTTTATCAGCTAATATGCCAACAATATGTCATCATAAAACAGATCAGAAAAATTGCATAATTTTATATAATTTTACAGGAGAATTTACAGGAACAGGAAGGAACTATTCTTTACTACAGCCAGTGAAAACCATTTCAGTCAACCACTAATCTGAAAGCCAGCTTCAATCACAGTGACTGTCAAACAGGAAATGGAACAGTGTACTTCCTAAAGAGCTGCACTGCTGCCAATGAGTTGTCCCGAAAAAGGCTTTTATGGAAGCTTTTTAGGATCAACATCGTGGCAGTCACACCAGGGAGCAGTCTGGCTTTCACTGTGGGCTGCTTTTGGCCTCCAAATGAACAACACATAGCCAACTGTATAATAAAAGAATATTCAACTGGCTGCTGAAATATCTCCCCTCTTCTTTCTATTTGTCTCATAAAACATATGCACAGACTACACAGTGCATTGGCAAGTGTTCACACAACTAAAACTGATTTTGTTTTGTCATCAGCATGCACATGACTAGCATACCCATTTTAGGATGAAACATATATCTGATGTCAGTTTTGACAGTGACACAATTCAATTTCAAGAAACCAAAACATTTTACACTATGTACTATACATTATGTGTCTTGAAAGTCACACACCAGCCTTTTCCCCTCTCCACAGAAACCTAGATTGAGACAGAAATAGTTCTTTACATCATTATTTAAAAACAACACTTTTATAGTGCTTTATTCTCAGGAACTGACCACATTTTTAAATACCTCTTTTGCCATTTTATTGAAACAAGCCTATTTTCAGTGAATTATTAACCTTGAATGCCTGAAATTTTAACACAGCCATGGTCATATTCCTGTGCTGACATCAGAGTCAGAATGAGGAAGAGGGAATAACAGAGGAAGAAAAGTTGGGCAGGAAAATAAAGAAACAGAGAGATGATGGAGGAGGAGGGCAAGGGGAAGTTAGCGTCAGGCCCTCTCCTCCAGCCACCAGGGCTCTCATTACTCCTAAATGCTCCCCAGTGACTCTTTAAAGAGAGCTAAAATAAAACACTCTGGCATTGGCCATCTCTCTCTCTCTCTCTCTACCTCCCTCAAAGCTACAAAAGCTGAGGAAAAACAGCTTTACACCAACGCAGCTATATTTATCCTGCCAAACACCCCAGCACCACCAGGGAAACAGAAGATGTGTGCTTTCACACACACACACCACCAAACATCCACCAATCTGTGATTTTCTGCAGCTAGACCGACAAGGTGGCAGATTGACACTGTAGTGCTACACTGTACTCTACTTGACCACTTACAGGCAGGAAGTGATGACTACAGTAGTTGTTACAGTATGTAGTCACATATGACTTTAAATATTATTGTAGTTTCTTGTACTAAAATGCTGGTATTATTGGAAATTTTGTTCTAACACAGCAGTGTTAACAGAACAACCGTGAACATGTTCATGATTAAGAAACTGAACTTTTGTGAAGTGTTATGAATGCTAAGAAGTTATTGAAAATTGTTCTCCATTTTTCAGTTCTCAGCCAAAAACCTGCATTGCCAGAAAAATAAACAAAGATGCAACAATTTTTAAATGATTATGATATTCTTAGACCCCAGTTCTTTAATTGAAAGTGCAAGAAGTGAAGACAGAAGAGGACTGTATAAAATTTAATTAAAGCCTGGTCACATGGTAAAGCTATATAACGCTGGGCTCTGAGTGACAGAGTTTCCACAGGAACCCCATCATCCAAAAGCCCTGACTTATCATTTGTGGTCACATTTACCTTCTTGGGCGGAGACTGCCTCATACAGAGGCTGGACTTACACGTACCTTAATTCTATTGGCCCTTGGCGTGAGCAGGCCAACCTCTTGCCCACGCCTGTTTACTGAAATGTGATAGAAGCCAGGTGTGTAAATGTTTGTAATGTCAGGCGGTAGCTAACGATGAATACTGGACGATGGGTTGTCTGCAGCTGTCTGTCTAGCCTTTTGCAGGACAAAGCAGAACTTGTGAAGATGCTAAAGAGGCCAGGAGATCCTCTCAAATTGTAGGTCCCCCATCTCTGCAAACTGTTACATGACAAAGCAGAACTTGTGAAATGTTAAGTGGGCCTATGTGAAGTTGCAAAACAGGCCGTCTGGTTAATTAAAGATGCAGACAAGATGCAGACATTTCTCCACAAAGGTCTGGCAGACAATTCCTACTCAGCAGTTCTTGACAATTATCATTACAGTTGTAATATATATAAGCAAGGAAAATCAAGGTATAAGAATTAACTAAAGCTTATAAAATCTGAATATTATAATTTTATTTTTAATTAACTGATTATTTAAGTTTATGAAACTGTGGCAAATATTCATGATATTTCCCAAAGTGACAATGTCAAGTTGCTAGTTTTGCTTGACCAACACTCTGTTAGGTATTTTTAGTCAGATAGATATTGGTTAGATACTTGATGTATTAGAAATGTTTAGTGTTAACAGGATGTCTACGTCAGGCTGTTAAATGCTTAGTCATTCTTAAGGGTACTCCAGGTTGTTCAGGTTCAAGGATAACTAGACAAAAAGTTGATTATTGTTAGGAGACAGAATGTTTAATATTATTGTTATGACGTGTTTAACCATAAGTAGTCATAATATGTTCTTATGCTTAATGTCATATCAAAATGTTTTAGCTACACACCACATAATCAACAGACATTCCCACATTGATTTTCTTCATGCTTTGACTACTGCTACAACAACAACAACGACAACCACCATCACCCTCAGGGAGCCCCCGGAGCACCAGGCACAAATGAGCAGGCTGAAATCAGGAGAGCGACAAGGAGACGGAGACGCAAGCGAGGCAAGTGCAGGGGACTCCATGCTAGGCTAAAAGCGCGTGCACTACTTGACTGCCATTACCCAGCCTCTTCCTAGCTAACGTACAGTCTCTGGAAAACAAACTGGATGAGCTAAGGGCTAGGATTACAGCACAACAAGAAATAAGAGAATGCTGTGCTCTAATTCTAACTGAGACTTGGCTTTCTGACAGAGTCCCAGATTCCGCGATTCAGCTACAAACACACTCTGTACATAGAGGACACCACACTGCTGCTTCGGGGAAGGTAAAAGGAGGTGGTGTGCATGTGTTTATCAATATCTCGTGGTGTGGAGATGTACGGACTGCTTATAAGTTTTTATTGCTGAAATGGCGGCCCTATTATTTAGCCAAAGAGCATAGTGCTGTGTTTCTGGCTGCTGTTTGTTAGCCCAAGAGCTAATCCCTCTGTGGCTCTCAGCAAAGTCTATGATGTCATCAACGCGCTAGAGACAGCTCACCCAGATGTTGTGTTTATCACTGCAGGCAACTTTAGCAAGTGCAATTTACGGACTATACTTCCCAAATATTACCAACATGTGAACATTCCCACTCGGGGCAAGAACACTCTGGATCATGTTTACAGTAACATACGTGGTGCATACAGGGCTGCACCCCACCCCCACCTTGGACGCTCAGACCACATTTCTTTGTTCCTGTATCCAGCTTACAGACAAAGACTGAAACAAACAAACCCTGTCACCAAACAAAGGGATGTGTTTAAAGCTGCAGCCACCTCGGAGGACTTTTCTGTCAGTGCACAGAATTATGCTGAGTATATGACCGGATACATTAGTACCTGTATTCATAACATTGTGCCCACCATACAAGTCAGGAGGTTTCCCAACCAGAAGCCCTGGATAAACAGTCAGGTATGCCACATGCTGCGTGCTCGCTCTCATGCATTCAGATCAGGTGATGAGACGGAGTACAAAGCTGCTAAGTATAGACTGAGGAAAGCCATCGCAGTGGCCAAGAGGCAGTACAGAGAGAAGCTGAATGGCTTCTATTCTACTGCTGACTCCGGATGAATGTGTCAAGGCCTGCAGCACATCAGACTACAGGACCACCACCAGCATCATCAGCTCCACAGACAGCCTCCCGGATAACCTCAACACCTTCTACACCCATTTTGAGAGCTACAGCACAGAGAGAGGGCACACACACACCGAGACCGTCTAACCCCCCACCTCCCCTCCACTAACTGTCTCACCAGGCCAGGTACGCACAGTCCTGAGGAAGACCAACCCCCGCAAAGCAGCAAGACCAAGCAACATCCCTGGGAGGGCTCTCAGGGCATGTGCCAGCAAACTGGCTGATGTTCTCACTACCATCTTCAACCTCTCCCTCAGCCAGAGCATCGTTCCCACCTGCTTTAAGACCACAACCATTGTCCCCCTTCCCAAGAAGAGCCCGGTCACCTGCCTGAATGACTATAGGCCAGTGGCACTCACCCCAATCACTATGAAGTGTTTTGAGACAGTGATGCTAGCCCACATTCAAAGCAGTATACCAGACACCCTGGATCCCCTGCAGTATGCCTACCAGCCTAATAGGGCCACCTCAGACACTGTCAACTGCTGCCCTCCACTATTCCCTTTTTCATCTGGAAAATGGAGACTCCTACATCCGGATACTCTTCATTGACTACAGCTTCGCCTTCAACACAGTTGTCCCCCACAGACTGTCCACACTGGGTCTGCACCCCACCCTCTGTGACTGGTTCCTGGACTTTCTGACTGGCAGGTCCCAGACTGTCAGGATTGGCAATAGGACTTCAGCCAGCATTATCATGAACAATGGCACCCCACAGGGATGTCCTCAGTCCTATCCTCTACACCATGTTCACCCATGACTGTGTCATCTCCCACAAAGACAACATCATCCTAAAGTTTGCGGACGACATCGCAGTGATAGGTTCCATCACTGGCAGGGACGAAGCAGCCTACAGGAAGAGGTGGCTGGTCTGGTGTCACGGTGCAAGGACAATAATCTCAGCCTCAACATCGACAAGATGAAGGAGATGATAGTGGACATGAGGAAGGAGAGGAGATCTCATCGGCCACTGTTCATCCGGGGGCTCAAAGTGGAGAGGGTGAGCAGCTTCAA